ACGGTCTTCGACTCCTCTGGATCAGAAGACTCCAAAATGGTCTAAACCTCCTATTCAAGGTCACCTATGACCAAGATATTCTTAAACTGAATTTACAAATAAAACAAAACGCTCCCCGAAACACCTGCAATAACGAAGATATTATGGGGATCCCCAAATTCACATAGTCCCAGCGGTCAAATTTCTACTCCATAAGATATTTCACTATCCGCAGTGCTCTTCCAAGTTCTACCCGGAAAAGTCGAAACCTAATCCAGTTTAAAATAAAAACTAAGAAATTCATTTCAAATAACAATACTTGTTTATTTTTAAATAAGAGAGGACACTTTTCAAGTCAATTCTTTGATATAGAATTTAGTCCAGAAGGACTCTGATGATGCCAGCCGTTTGAATAACACCGGAACATAGCACTAAAAACAATCAAATTTATGAAAGACAGCATTATTGATAAACATAAAACGGATAGTGATATTCTTTCTTCTCTCACTTTCTCGTTTCTATTAGCTATGTCATTTGACACCAAATATCCCTTAAGGTGCTAATAATAACATCCCTTTCGATAAAACCCTGTATATTAGTTGTGCATAAGTTTAAATCAAGGCCATATTAAACATATATACAACTATATTAGATCACAGTAAATAGTCGACCACTACTCCTCTAATGTCACATTCACAAGAACAATATGATACATGATTCAATATTATTTTGATAGCTTTGATTGTGACTTACCATTGAATGTTTCTTGAAACCAGTGACCTATGTAAATCAATATCTGCATTCACTTAATGCCCTAATTTCTTCGCAGTTTTGCTTATTTTATCGATTTTTCATGCACAAATAGAGAGTTCAAATGCGTAAACCTATTTCCTTCAAATACACTGACTGACTAACTTAGTAAGTTTGCAGTTCCGTGGTATTTTTCCCATGCTGGATGCCTTGGAAATGTTGCATGTAGGCCATTCCATGAATTGCACGTTCAACAGCAATTTCAAAGCTAAATGAGCAGCTCATCCGCCACGTAGCAGTGTTGCAGCTATTCCGGAGGACGCAAGTGCTAAGGCTATGTCCTTTTTGGACCATATTGCTGCCAGAATCAGTCGTAGTAGGAGCGTTTTGCCATTCCATTCTGGCCTATGTAAGAGGAAGATTCCTCCAACCCCCTTATGGACATCCCGCTTTATTTGATCGTAAATGCCATTCTGCTCCAATGTTAGCTTAAGTAAATTTGATTGCGGATGCGACGGAAGTTCAGCCGAGTTGTAGTTTTATTCACGGTGCAAGTCCACATCTAACAAAGCAGTAGCAGGTCGGTTAGGCGATGACATTCCCAGTTGATTCAGAACTTTGTTCATGATGTCTACCCTTATATCCTCAATCAGTATTAACGCCTCGTTGTAGATTTCTGCTGCGAAATCCACATTTGAGTTTTCCTCGCTTAGTCGACGGAAGATACCCTAAGCCATGTGCGATATATATTTCTTCCATACTTCGGTTATAGATGAGGGAGAGCAGGCGGTCAGTATGACTGCAAACAATGCACGAATTTAAAGTGGATGGGACATGTTGCACGCAACACTAATGCACACAACCCAGTGTCGGTCGTTTTCCAATAAACTGAGAGTCTGATATGCACTGCAGGAAATGGCATGCGTAACGCCCTTGCCAGATTTCAATTGCTGGGAAGACGTTGGACAGGGCACATTTACCAACAGCATCCGAAGGAAGAAGCATTCGTCCTGATTGGGATACACAGTGAAAAGTCTGCCTATCACAGTTCCTTTGAATGTACTGGGTTGTCTGTCGAATCGCCCTCCTCGTTTGCGTCGTAAGAAAGATTTTCTACCCGCATTCCTTGTGTAATACGTAGGCATTTCCGAATATAGCAGTGTCTCCGCAAACTCGTCAGTTTAGCATAATGTGAAGAAAACAGTTAATGTTGTTGCCGCTGGATCGAAGGCAACATGTTGCACACGCTTATCTGTATAGTAAATGCGCTGCCCATTCTCTAAGTGTGCCGCCAAGTGAACAACAGCTGGACTTCGTTCATGTATAATAAATGAAAGAATTTGCCATACAGATTTTTTTTCAGCCCCCAATCATCATGTTTCTCAATGGACTTCTAATTCGGAAACTAGGAATTGCATTTTGTAAAGATTCGGCCTACCTCGTCTAAAACTCGCATGCAAATTTATTTTAACTTGCTTTGATGGGACTCCGACGGGTCTTTAATAAAAATTATCTATCTATCTATTTATTTGCTGCTGCTGACGTACCTTCCAACCCGACAGTGTGCGATTTCACCGAGTTGTATGCCCTCATTCCTTTCTCTCCTTTCGCGTTGTAGTTCAAAACGGCCATACCGCTGCCTTTATTCATGTACTTACAAAGGTGAATATGTAACAACCCAGCGGTTGTCTACTTGCATGTCAAGGTTCGCATTTGTACGGTTGCCAGTTTGCCGTCGTCGTCTCCTGATCCTCTTCAGTATAAGGAATATCTGTCGTTTCTGGTAACTGTGTTGCATACGAATGCCCGAGGATATCTCTAAGAGCATTTTCCGTCTGTCATGCAGGGGAATTAGGATTCAATACACCACAAGGTCCATGTATCGTATTTTTCGCTACAACTTCGTGCGAATCCTTGTCGACGTCGGCGTCAGGAGATTCAGCGCGTGTTACATCGTCGATTTCGTTTGAGGTGATCTTGTTATAGAGCCAGGTCAAGACATGTGCATGGGACAGTCCCATATTTTGCCATTCCACTGAATAAATCCGGCATCGCACAGGCCTCAACACGTCGTGCTTCACCACGAAGTTCATCAGCGATTTCAGCTTCTGTCTGAAAAAAAAACATGCTGTTATGTTATGACTATCCACCCTCGATTGCCCAGGAAAAGAGAGCTGTTGAATATCGCCCCAAGCGGGATTGCATGTGAGTGTACTAAGTAGGTCTGGCGCCCGTACTGACGAACATAAGCAATTTCATTTTAAGCGTACTCATGCACATGACGCGGACCGCCTATAGCTGTGGATAGCAAAATCGTTATTCTTCCAACGGTAGTTGTATTACCGCCGTCTACAACTACATTACGCAACTGAATGTGCTCTTCAGAAAGCAGCGTGGGGATTCAAGCGAATGAAAAGCAGGCCTTTTGTTTAGATTATTGCTTACATATCCACAATGTATTGGTGAGACGTTTGACCGCGCTTCAATAGAGGATTACTTATATTCTGTCGAATCATTAATCTGCAAGTAAAACAGTTCATTGGGCTGCATTTCATGTGCGTTTCCTCGCCACTGACTGAATTTATCATCTTAACATTGAAATGATTTACGTCGGCACCATCCCAAAATAAGCGGATACTGCAGGGCGTCGTAGCACCGATGAGTTTTTCTCAACTTTTGTCAGTTGATCGTTTCGTCGATTAAGAACAATATCTCTACGTTTATATTGGTCTCCGGCTATGATAATTGCCACTTCGTTCACAGCTGGTGCAGTGAATCGTCATTCATACTGTCCAGCAGGCGTTTTGTCAGCATGAATGACAATCTTGTGCGTATCAGACGGCATTATGGTAATTGCGGTTTTGGACAGCCACATTAAGTTATTGTGTTCATGCACCCAACTCGTCATTATTATCACCGAGGAAGTACATTTGTAGGAATTCATGTTGACCGTCTTTGGAGCGGAACAAGGCAACCGACTATATGAAACATTTGTCCTTTCAGTTTGAAAGCCGGCACGAATGGACCGATCAAGACATCTGTGCCGGACGACGTCATTTGGAAGCATGAGTTGTAATTCGTGGTGTTGTACAGGAAGTGCTTTGATTTGGCGGTCTTTCCGGCAAGCAAAATTTTTAATGGCTGTGATGGTTCTCGAAGTTCAGGCAGTTTCATTTTTCCGGCCGCACAGCGCATTCCCTTAGTTTCTCAGTTAAATTTTAAAGCCTTTCAGTAAAGACACACTTCAGTCATAGTGCGAATGTGAACATGTCATCACAAGCAATAATCGTCAGATAGGTTGTACCGGAATGCAAGTTGATTGTAGTCGCAAGTATGCTGAGCATGGAGTCGTGTTAGACGCTAATTTCCTGTTTCTCGCTGGTGCCTTTCGGCTTCTCCCAGCTTGTCGTGTTCAGTCTGTTGAGAACAAAGCAAATCTAAAGCTACAGAAAGCGGTTGCCGTGATCGCAACCGGGCTTCCTCAAACCGGGCTGCACGACACTGGGATGACACTGAGTGACAGCCCCATTATGTGAGTTGTGTTTGGGTGAGGGGTAAGGGGTTGGTGTTAACTGCATCTAGTAACTCAAGAGAATCCCAGCCGAGTCGATGACAGTCTCATTATGTCAGTTGTGGGACAATTTCAGCAGGAGCCTAAGAGTTGAACGTCTTTTTTCCTACGTGTGTTGTGCCTAGCGGCCCATGCTGAATCGGCCAGAGGTCGGAGGGCATGTCCATTTATTTGCAGGGTGGGTGGTGGGGATGAGTGCGGATGTCGGGGCGCACGCGCGTTTAAGCGGATTTTGGCTAATTGGCTCAGGAGCGTTCGCTTGTTCAAGTGGATTTCGGTCAAATGCCTGCAGGCTAACTCGTCGGCAAATGGCGCTGTTATGCAAGAAATGCACATGTTTTTTAACCATCGCAGGCGTGCCATATGCATGATTATGAAAGAAGGCATAAAAACCCGCCTTTACGCTCAGGGAAGGTAGTATCAACATTTCAGAGATATCAGTACAGTACTTTCGGTGATTAACCATTACACGCAATCAGTTCCATTTTTATATGTATGCATATTACATAATATATTATGTGACATATCACATAAGTTTGCAAATAATGTCGCTCGAAATGCGAAACGGATTTAAGAAAGTTTTGGACAACAGTTTAGAAAATAATGGAATGGTTAAGTGCGAATAATATTTTACTGGGCTGACATTCAAGTGGTTAGATTGTCTATAGCTATCTGCAGTAGCCCTTTTGAGCATAGCAGCATGCCGATTTCGAAGCGAGATAAAAAAGGTTCGACACTTTCTGTTGCCTATCATCCTCTCAGTTTCTCTGACTAAGGTGACAAAGAAGACTGGTAAAAAGTCTGAATTTGTTGAAAGGGTACGTTTTTAACCGATTCCATTACTAGTCTGCTGCGCAGTTTAATTTTTTTGCCACATATGTTGCCAAGACAGGCATTCCATACTTGATGTCTATTTTTTCTTTATCCTTGTCGAATTTAATCTAAAGCTACCTTGAAGAGAGACTTGGCCGTTATCTAAGCTATGATCTGCGTCCATGGGCCCACGAAGGGGAAAATATTTCCCCTGGTTCCTCACCCGATTTGTTATATGACTTCTCCAAGCACACGCATAAATTAGGTCCATGCTTCATGGGCAGCTTCCTACGGCTAGGTCTACACGCTCTTATCCTTGTGGCATAGAGAGTCTGTGTTTTTGGCGGACTTGGTTCCGCGATTTCAACCTCATGCCAGCTGGCGTCTGGACCCCGAAATGTACGTAGCCTGTTATTCTCGGTCTCTTTACGCCTAAAGAAGTCGTTGATCGTTATACAACGAAGTGGCTGAGAGTGGCTGGTCAGGTCATTTGTAGGCGTGGCAGTGAACTGCCTGGACGCCAGTTAAAGTCCCGCAAAACTGCCTTTTTAAACGCAAAGCTATGCCCTGGGAATGAGCCTCAGCGCTTATGCGCGATTTAAGTATCTGGGTGTGCACTTGCGAAACCGTTTTCGCTGATGGGACTTATCTACCTTCCTGTATGGCGACGTCCATGATTTTCTTCTATATTGCACTTGCTTACAATGGGCCCTTTGACCATCAACTTCATTGATTGGAGAATCTCAACCATTCTGCTACCAGATTGCTGTCAAACGGACAGAGTGGAGATGACTTCGCTAGCCAAATTAGCGCCGCTTTCGATGGTTTTTTATGAATCTGTCGCAGTACTTTGATTTCCACACAGGTCTGTGTGATAATCATGATCTGGTCAGTCTCTCCCTTCGGTGGTAAACTCACAGCTTGCATGGGAAAGCAAGAGCAAGCTAGGGGTCCTTGATTACCTCTACTGGGATACTTATCTTCAGGCGAAGTGTGTGAACTCCAATTAAAGGACTTACACTCGGTGATAGTGGTTCGATAACGTCTCAGTTCATCAAAGAGAGGCCTGCTACTTTGTTTGGACGGATTTGCCGTCACCAATTCAGTGAGCCTATTTCAGTCTCCCTAAATTCAATAGTCCCTCATCGAAGGTGATGTAGAGGTGATCACCTTGATGTCGAAGATTTTGTTCTCCGAAATCTTTGACGTCCTATCTCCACTTTTAAAGAAAAGAATGGGTTAGGATCACCGGTTCCAAAGCCAGTGGATTGTCGCGCGTGCAAGAACATCATTGATTCTGACTACCTCATGCGTACCTTGGTCTTATGTAATGCCCGCAAATTGACCCATTTTCGGCATTCCCATATCTACGCTTAAATACCTTCCCGATCTAGCGTTGCCACTCACGCGTTGAGCCAAGATGACCTACCTGGGCTGATTACGTAATTTCAGAGGAATTTTCCGCCAGTGTTTTTTTGCAATGATTTCTAAGCAAGTTTAAGTAGTGTCCGCTATGCTATTGGAGCACTACGGCTGATAACCAGTGGGAGTCCCTCCAGACCGTTCTTTTTCAGGCACAGCTAGGTTTTACAGCAGGTTTTCTCCTGTCTTTCTAAGAGCCCGGAAACCAGTGTGTTGCTGTTGTTTAGGATTTACTTCGTTTTTGCACCACAGCGATCCAACAGGATTTCTCCCTTTGTTACCGTTTAAGAACAAGGTTGACAATGACCCTATTCAACTTACTTTGAACGTAAGGCAGTAAGAAAATCAAGGACCTTACTCACATGCATCTGATTTGGGAAGATATTTTTGGAATTAGCGCCTATCCGCATCAATTAATTTAGTTTTTTATTCTGACAATATCCCACCACAAATTCCCAGATTTTCTTTACTATTTATTGCAGCTGTCGCGACTAGTTCAGGAAATTTCTTGCGATCGTTACCCCGCTCACATAGTGTTAATTACAGGATAGGACGGTCAGTTCCTTTCACTGAAGTCAGATAATCTATCCCAGGTGGCTATGCACACACTGGACACTGGACATAAATTTGCATGGGAGAACACTCGCGTTGTTGGTGCCTATCCAATAAGGAAAGGCCGCGAATTCCTGGAGGCAGTGCACTCTGATGAGGCATGCATCAATCGGCGTATCGATTTAGATGCCACATACAAATTTCCCAAGGACAAATGGAGGCGAGGGCAGGCAATGCCGAGGGGATGACGAAGAACCATTGACACGCATTGGCGGTCTTCGGCCAACCATAGAATCATTCGTTCGACACGGTTAATTTGTTAACTTTTAGTACATAGCCCAAAAGTCTGACGACGAGCTGGAGGACCAGACTCGAGAATTTACGCATTAAAGGTTATTTTCTTCCCAAAGGATCTTACTCATTTTCAATATATATAATAATATAATATATATAGTCAGACGTGTAGAAAGCGTAAAAAACGGCCAAAACTTTAATTTGCCTGACAGATTGTTATTGCTTTTTCAGTGCTGCGACTGGGTCAATGCTGTGGGCTGACGCCACGTCTCGATTGGCTGTCACCTTTTCCATTTTTCTTTGAAATTTGTGTACACGGCGTCGAGATCGTTGCGCCGATTGATGCTTGAATCATCGGAGTAAATGGCCTCTAGAAATTCTCGGCCCTATATGGGCAGGGGCCGACAATGCGCGTTTTATCCCGAGAAAATTTGTGCCCAGTTTCTAGAGTATGCATGGCAACTTGGGATAAGTGGTCTCGCCTCTTTACTGCCAATTGGTGTTTATGTAGGCGTGTAAAGGCGGATTTCGCGACCTGACCGCAATATACCGCATTACAGGTGCCACATGGGATCCTTTAGACGACTTCTTTTTTTATCCAAATAGCCAACCCTACCCTTAGGGTGTACAAGCTGATTGCGTAGCGTAGTCGTCAGTTTGTGCGCCACTTGTATTTGGTGTTTCTACAGGTGTCTTTCAACGAGTTCAGATACATTTTTAAAGTGAGGAAGCGTTCGCAAATTTCTTTAGTCTAGGCGCCAGATCGGAACAGTCTAGTTCCTTATCTTGTTTCTTTGATTCCTGCTGTTTTATGTCTTGGCGTACAAAATCTCTAGGGTAGCCATTTTATGTATATTTATGTATGCTCAGCATCTAGATACAAAACTATTTCCGTTGCCTTCATCATACTATCGATCTTCCCCGACCAATTGTTTAATTTGGTCACTACTGGCCGCAACTACCTGCGATGGTTAGTGGTGTATCCATTCACAAGCCAGGATTGTAGTGTTTGTCTACAATTCTTTGGTGCCGCTTTTTACTACACTAATGCTTGCTTTCTGTGTTTTGTCGTTAGGACATATTTTGGGGGCGTCGTCTTTCAGGCCTTTGTACAACTTATTGCGGACTCTTTCCAAGGATTCGGGGGTTCCTTTGATAATTTTCACTTTGCAAGCTTTGTCGGATCAACTTGCCCTAGCTCTATACCCTCGTTTTGTTTCTGTTTACTAGGTCCGTGGTCTCGTCGATAAATATAAGTATGTTTATGTCATCAGTTTCGACAACCCCCGAAATACGCGCCTCTCAGAACTCCGACAAGAACTCAATGATAGTATCCTCCTTTTTGGTAAGAACAAACTGGTAATGGTGGCGTTTGGTCTTGACAATAAGACACAATGGAAACCTGGGCTTCGCCAGCTAAGCAAGTACGTCAAAGGCCAGTGTGCCCTCCTCTTCTCCAACAAGGAAGTCGACGAACTTCGTGACACGTTCAACCAATTTCGTAGCCAGGACTACGCCAGGCCGGGGAGCATTGCCGCTCAGACGGTACGCACTTCTTCATTTTTCCTTTGACAGAAAGCCTCTCAGTCACGTCTGTTTACTTTTGTGGAAGCAGCTACCGGAAAGCACGAGGGAATGTGGGCGTTGAAATGCGACCGCAAAAGAGCGTGTAGAAGTTCAAAACAGATCGCCCATATTTTATCTCGTTGCCAGAAGCAAATGAACGGCACTCCCACGTGTCTTTGAATGTCTCCAACCACAGCTGACTACCCGATCCCGTGGGTTTACTAGCCAACTGTATTCAGGTTAAAATTTCGCCTCTCCACGACCTGGAGATGGATAGTGTCAAATAGTGTTTGCAGAAAGCGATAAGTGGTCATCTCAGTTTTCCCTAACTTGTCGGAGACACTTCTGGATCGCCACTTAGCCCTTCACACAGATGCCCAACATCGGCACACTGTCAAGTAGGTAAAAAGGGGAGGAACTTTTCGTCAACACAGACTATGTTAAACTCCCTCTGGCTTCATCTAGGACTTATAATGATTTTGTAAGCGATTAGGTGGGCCTGGGTTTTACCTTTGAGTAGTCCATTTCAAATGTTACTTTTCGCAGCTGTTGGGAACCATGTGCTGCGATGCATGTGCAGCCATTTAAAAAAAACTATGAGACAGTTTTTATCTAGCAAGATTGTATGCGTACATGTTTTCATATTCTTACCTTCATTAGCCATATTTTATGCAGGCTTGCATAGTTTGGTAGATTGTGCCAAGCGTGGCATGCTAAATAAATAGTTCAAAGTAGGCGACCAGATACCGTTTTCTGTCTTTGCATAGGGCCACCAACTCCTGCTTATAGAGGCGGCGGAGTGTTTGGCATGATATTCAAAAGTCCTCTGAGACGACTGTCGCCCACTCCGACGTTTCACCGAAATCTCTGAGTGTTGAAAACTCCGTTTGCATAGTAATTCTGCGTTATCACCCCGCTGCCTTTTACAGCTCGCTGATTCGGACAAAATTCCAAAAGCTGCCTCAGGTCAGCGGTTTCGACCGAACGGTAGTCTGTGACACACCCTCATGCGGTGGGGCCTCGATGCACTCGGCATTGTGCTGACGAGCCTCTCCTGCCAAAGGGAATCGAAATGTTCTGTTTTCCCGTTGGTCTTGATGCTCTACTCAACAATGTTCTGCACAACTCCGTGAAGTAGAACCATCTTATTTGCTTCCTGTGAAATTGATCATGCAGTTGCGCCCTCCCGCCATGATGTTTGATTTACGTATGTCGATTGCGAATCTATCACGGCACGACTGACGAACTGGTTCAAAAATCCAGACCAATGCCCGTAAATTACACCTTTCCTGTCCCTACTTTGCTCGCGCATTCAGGTATGCATTGTCTCAGTTAGGGGCTTAAGAGGTGTCATGGGCCGGAGATTTAGCGCGCAGTGGTATTGTCACCCAAGGTTTATTTATGCACGTGAGTGGCATTTCCAAACTTCTGGATTTCCAGTTTCAAAATGCGCACTTCTCGGCTTGATGGATGCTCCTACACCACCACTCCATGGCACAGCTCTCACCTTTGGCTCCACACTATGTCCCTGCACGTCGGTCATATCTAGTCAACCGTCATTAATCGAAAGCTGTGCGCGTGTGCCTCCACACACTGTGGATCTCGTAAAACTCGTCAATTCCTTAAAACAAGTCTCGCTTTAGAGGCGACATTTAAATCCCATAGGCGGTCCAGGCTAATTCGTGTCATTTTCTCCCTACACCACCAACGCGCTATAGTGGAATTTCGGCAATTTTCTGGGATGACTAAACAGCTTTATTCAGGAACGCACTGCTTACCCCCTCATGAGGAAGGGACTGGAGAGTATAACCTCGAAGAATGCCTGTTCGTGCCGTCAACACGGGTGTCGCGGTTGCTAAACTATCGAAACAAGGCAAGTGGAAATAATGACCGTCTTCGTTGTCATGTTTCTATAGCTGAGTGATTTTGCTTATTTTGCCGGCTTAAGCAATAGAATTGTCAAATTAGCCGACCGCAGAACAGCTCTGTCAGCCCATATAATGGCTCGATACAAGATGGACTTTGCGGTTGTCTTCAAAGGCTGCTTCTCTGAACAAGGTTTAATAAAAAAGTGGGTGTGAGTTGCATCTCGAGTGGAAGTCCAAAGACAGGACGATGGGACGCTGGAGTCGCCTTCACCAAAAACCTGCATTCGGAAACAGTTACTCTGCCTTCCTGGGAATCAACGCTCGTCGCATGACGACGAGGCTCCCACTCCGCCGAGAGAAGTTCGCCACAATTATGTGCCGAAGTCCCTCAAATGACAGACCATGAAGATATGGAGGACGAGGATCTAGGCGCTTGAGTCGTCACAGACCACGCTACGTAGGACTGATAGGTCACCACAGAGTAAATAACTAAGGCGGCACCGGGCTGTTGTTACAGACATGAACAGGACATCACCAACACCTCCCGATTTCCAAACTGAGGAAAGGCAACATGGATGCACGCTTACTCGTCTCGCTTCTGACTGCGACGCGTCAAGAAGCGAGGTCAGCGTAACGTACTCGTGGTGCCGAATGCCAAACAGTTCTACTGCCTTGTCGTCTTGAAGATCAGACTGCAAGTCTTAATGTAGTAATGCATCAAAGGAGTGATATTAGGTACTTCCGAATTTAGACTGGATCTCCAGCAACGAACTGAAGATAAACATGGAACAGTCTCAGACCCTATCGGCGAACGACTTTCAGAACAGATAAAGGAAACTTAAATACGACATCCATACCACTGCCTTGCATAAACATTTGCGGGGAACTCCAGCGTCCCCTGTCCTAGAAAAACGGGCTACATCAAACCTATATGACAGTTGATGCGAAGTCTGGGGCAGCAGAGGCTGAAAAAGATGCAAAAGGACTGACAGACTCAAGATAGAAATCGGAGGAACCGCAGACGGCCAGCAGAGGTCTAGTAGAAAAGCTTCTAGCAGACGTCTACAAGCGCAGTAGGCTCCGAATTTTGAACAGAGTGACGTTGTCCATCTACGCGTTCCATAGCTGACCCAAGACTACTTTCGACCCCACCGACATTCAGGATACGAGTAGGCAGTCTTCATCATGGTTTTGCCGGCCAGTGCGTGAGCAAACCGGCACTTCGTCGCTCCCGTCGTATTTTATGCTGTTATGCCTGCCTGACTCATGTATATCATACATCTAGATCTGATTCGGTGTTTATATGAACAACACCCCCAAACCTCCGAAACTATTGTACCCTCTTGTGGTTTTTAGGTTATATTGTCTGCCGGCTCTGTACCAAAATTTCCGCACACTATGGAACCTGCCTTGCGGCAACTGGGACTGCCTGTTAAACTCATACGCGGAATAATCAATCTAGAGACCGAATATCCCGTATGTGAACTCGGACAGGCTCTTACACCAGAGCAGTGTCGTATTCTGGTAAGCCGGCGTTCTTTTTACCAGTTTGCCTCCCTACCCTGCCACAATCGTCAGAATAATTTGTTCGAGTTCTCACGACTCGCTGCGATTTAGGTGATGAACCATTCCCAAAGTTGGAGTACTATCCCCCATCAAGGCATGACAGCTCGACCGTTGATTTCGACGATGCCTACCGTGTGCTCCACAGCAGGGTGAGAGCAGGGACGGTGACTTGCGCGCGAACTAGTTTCTAGTGATAGTGGACTCGCGATGGGTCTACCGCACTCCATCTTCCTCCCCCACATGTGTCCGGTCTCATGGATAAGTAAAGAAGACCAGAGGCTCGAGAGGCCGCAGGTAGCTGGCACGGAGAAACCCACACTTAGACGTACCACCACCCCCTGGTCTGCAACAAACACTTAACCAGCCGGGGGGTGGCACCGGTCCCAATGACGGAGACGTCAGCCTGCACATGGGAGTGTCATCGCACCCCAAACTTTGGCATCTGGTATGGGTGCACATTCCCGATAACGCCTGCTGGACTCCGGTCTAGCCCTGTCAGGACACAGGCAGATGCGGGCGTGACGCCTTAAACAATTGGTTCGGATGTGACCTGTAATTTTTTTAAGCGAATCGACCGACAACCAACTTATAAGGCTTTTAGACAACTCTGCCGCAACAACCTCCCCTTAGAGTGGTATTTAAGCGGCTTTTGAAAATCCGGCTTGTTTTCTTAATTGGTAAGTCAGTTCTCGTAATCGGCAGATACGCCGCGTCGGACTGTTCCCAATGTGGCCTTATGATGGCTCACGCCGACATAATATACAAACGAGTCCTGGTTTGCATGGGCTAAAGGACCAGCGCGTGCGTGGTATGCGCCCAGTCGCTCTGGATTTTTACCATCAGCGCACCGTGGCTGGCGTAGAAAAGTCATGTGCAGGGTGGGTCGAGCTCTCCAAATCCGTTGTCACGGATCATCAGGCGCGTGAGAGGAGGTACAATACACGACATAATCGAGGCCGTCTAGGTAAGGCGTGATCACGGCTGTGCCATTTACAAGATCACGGTCAAACAAACTATCGTATAACAGCCAGGTAGGTATACAGTCCCGCCAGAAACCATTTCCTTCCACTACAACTACAAACTACTTTTATCATCTGATTTTAGAAATACTTCGAGGTTCAAACCTCAGAATTCCGTGTTAATATATTGGCTCGTTGGGACTCACAAAGCGAAGGAGTGACAGCACTCCAGGCCAAGGACGCCGCAAACGTTATCACATCACTGGTTCCAAGGGTTCGTGTGAGCTGCCAAAAGCTAGACGATGGAGCTTTCTATTTTGTCCCCGAACCTATTGAGAACGAAAGTCCATCGTAAATAAAACAGCCAGTAAACGTCTTCTTTCTGCCTCTGCATCCCAGAATTTGTTTGTTTGTCGATGATTCGTCCAATCATTCAGTGTTAACCCGGGACGAAACCACGACAAACGTGAAACTTTCGCGGCTTATCTAGCAATGGACGCAAGCCGGGAGGTATGCTGTAAAGACTTCTTTACACTAGTTTATGGTGCAGATTAGGCCCATAGCCGTTAGTTGAAGCTGCAATTCCGTCCCGTTTATATCAATGTTGCCGCCGACACTTATGCTCTGTTGTCGCACTGGAACTTCGTCTATTGTAGGTAGACGTCGTCAGCCCAAGCTCTAATAATTTCGTGGACGCGACAAGAAGACAGCCTGGGCTCGATTGCTTTAGCAATTCACTTGTTAAGTGCCGAAACAAAATTCCCGTATGGCATGATTTTGTCCTGGCTCGATTCCGGGACGACCCGGCGCCAGACCTGCAGGCGTTTACTGCCCGCTTTGGGAGGGACGCATCAGAATGTCGGAAGTGAGACGTGGCCATTACAACCAGCGCGTTATTCAGCCCTTTCTCATTTTTATCTAATGGGCGTTGGATTAAGGTTCCCAATTAATATTAAAGAAGAGGATGGTGTGTAAATGAATTTGTAGGGTAGCAAATAGACAATAAAGGAAAAATAAGCGATTTACATGCTTGTAATGCAAGGTGGCGGTCAAGAAAGCTCAGGGGGTCCCGCAGTCCGTTTCCCCAGAAAACCACTTCGTTGTAGTTGCTTCGTCTAAAATTTTTGAAGTTATAGAGAATTAGGAAGTCGCAGTCCAAACGCAAAGGACAGGTAAGTAATCCCTACTAAAGTTGCACACACGATAGCCAGGAAAATGAACTCAAAACTAGTCGCCCATGCGCCGTTCGGGTTTCAGTTGAGTCCCCGCACTGACAGCTGCAGCCTAGATCTATGCATATAAAATTTCTGAGGGATAGGGAAAAACAAAGACATTATGAGTGGCCCGCTCGCAAAAGACTACAGAAAACACATACGCACGAAGGTTGTCGGAAGTCCGGGGCTAGTGGAGTTCGGTGGTTCGAGCGCCTCCTATTGTGGTAGTCCAGAGCGTGTTGGACTCCTTCGAAGGGGCTTCTAAAACTGTTTCTAGCCTATTTTCAGTCGTCGGCACGCTCCGTCTTGAAATAAGGGGCGTCTCGTCAAGCTGAGTTGGCAAAGACGTTCTCGAGTCCGGACTCGCGGTCTGGAGACGCATGATTGACTTCTGGGGCGACTGTGGATTGTTTTGAGTGAGTGGACAGTCGACTTGAGGTTCATTAGCGCGGATTCCGTCAGATTCTGTTGAAGTTTCTTTACAGCACAAATTAACAGCTGAGGACACTAAAGGACGTTTCTCCGAGAAATCACTTTGCAGTTTCCTGCGCCGCGGATAAAGGGCCGCTAACTCAGGTGTGACTGGGTGGGTATGCCTCATGTTGAAACGGACTATTTTCAGCAAGCCATTATTTACACTGATGTTTAAGAACGAGGTGCATTCCAGTTTTGATGTCCTGCTAAGCATAAAAATCGTGAAAGAATGCAGAACTTCTGGTTCAAACGGATGGAAGCTCCGCTCTCGTATTTGCCAAAATGGTAGCAAGCGTAACGCAGAGTGCGATATTTCAAATTAAGATGATATGGGCTGTTCTCCGGGAAACGGTTCGAATTGCGGATTACATAAAGTGCGCCCGTAACCTTTAGAAGCATTAAGAAAGACTGTGTCCTCACTTCTTGGAATTCTTTCAGTTTGGCTTGAAGCTTATCAAATGAGTCAAATGTAAGGGAAGTAAAGACCTTGGAGAAGATGTGTGTAGTATCCGTTTCCGAAGAGCCTGGTAAGGAAAGTAGTGAGAATGCCGCAGGAAACTAACACTCTGGATTGGAGTCCTCAATTGTGCTTTCTTCCACGACTTCGTGGTTGTGTGTCATACAGATGCGCGTGACATTCAGAAATTCGCCGATGGCACGTGCATCTATGATTGATTTGCAGGGGTTTTCCCTGCGAAGGTAATTTTTGCAGGCAAAGGTAAGCGCTTTATATCGAAGAACCAATCGTTCGTGTGCGCGATACCTCCGATCGAATTTATTAGATCTCCTCATTTTGTAACAAAGACCGGTCAACTGAAAAAATGACAGTAGATTGCAGAGTTCCTACTTTCTCAAATTCATCAATTTTCTGTCTAAGTTCTTCGTATGAATTGAACGACATTGACACAAATGTTTTAAGAAACTGTCCAGTAAAATCCATGTGAAAGCACCGAAATTGCAAGTGTGATGTCCTCTTCCTTCTCTGGATATTTAGTAGACGTTCGATTATTGAAGACGAAGTATTCAATCAACTCTGTGCTGTGAGATTTGGTTCCCGTCACGGTCGCATACGGCTATCTAGACCATATGGGACTAGCGCCCGGCACCAAGACGCTATGATACAACCGAAGAAACTGAGAGCGGTAGACCGGACGATAGACTAAAACAAACGGACAGAATGTGGAGATGTGGGTGCCCATGGGGCAAAGAGTAGCAGTATCTTCATACTAAATGGTCGACCGAAAACATCCATGACAACATCCGATTTTTTATAGTCGATGACTTCCCTTCCTTTGTCACGTCTACTTATCCACACTATTCTACTATCCACACAGTTCGACCTCGACCTCCTGCCCCCTCTCCATGGAACCATCAAGGCCTTGCATTAGTTCTCCAGTGGGGAAGCGCTAGGATCGGACGTGCTCCATGCTGCGATCTACAAGAAAGGTGGCCACAACTTTATTGATCATCTGGCAGCTCTATTTCAAGAGATGTGGGACTGCCGAAGCCACCCCTAGGTGACCTGTCACACCTGGCTCGGTTCCCACAGGGTGGGATTGCCATAAAGGGCACATAAACAAAGAGCCATTTCAGTCTGACTCTTAGGCCACCAGTCGGCCGCCGCACGCAACCACACAACACTGGGCCGACTGCAAGGTTCCAGTTATCCCGCCAGTTAGCAATCTTCCAAGCCACGGCTTTTAGTGCATGTGATAGCTTCAGGCACGTCAAATTGCTTCTAGTGAGGAAAATGTGCTGAGCCGTGGACCTCACTCTCCTTTACTGTTCCCAGGCTTAAGCCACTGTCCAGGCCACTTAGTTGGCAGGCGCGGAGGTTAAGCGCAGCACCTGCACCAGATAACTCCATCATCCCTTACAAGCATCGAATGGCCACATCCCACGCCAATGGGAAGTGTTTTTCCCGGCGTCTTCTTCACACGTCTCCTCTGCTGCATGTGTGAACCGAGTCTGTGACTACCCGGGTGCGCCGAGTGCCGTGGCTTAGAAGGCAGACAACTGACGTTTCATTTCCGTCGGTTCAGTCTGTCCAACTGTGCATGTTTGTGTGGAGTGGCGGACTGGTGGACTTAGACCAAGGCTGTCACGACTCCTTATTCTGCCTACCTCGTCTAAAATTCTAGGTAAATTTATTTTTACTTGCTTTGATGGAACCCCAACGGGTCCTTAATAAAGATTATTATTATCAATTTATGCCTTATGGGTAGTGTCTCTCAGTCGACGACTGTTTGGTTATCCAAACCTGGATGGTGACAGCTCAGGCAAATGTAGGGCCACATGTCACCCTTCTGAGCCTAAAGGTCTTTAAGCGTCTGCTATGCCAGGACGAGAAAACCATGGCCCTCGCAGTCTGGTATGCGCTCTCTGTTCTCTGACATTTAGTTCCCTACCGGTAGATGCTCTTGTGCACCTGCTGGGTATACAGGCTGTGCGCATGGCTGCCCAGTAATCCTCGACTTTCTGACCCTCAATGGTGCGGCTGTTTTAATAATAATAATAATACTAGGTTTTTTTTATCAAAGACTCGTCGGGGTCCCACCAAAGAAAGTAAAAATAAATTGACATGCGAATTTTAGACGAGGTAGGTTAAATCTGTACAAAATGCAATTCATAGTTTCTGAATTAGAAGTCCGTTAAGAAAAATGATTAGCGAGAGGTGAAAAAAAATCACACAAAATTTTAAAATGACTAGATTAATTTTACAGGAGAACTGCTGTGTAGATCAGGGGGTGTGGAGTGGGGCGCCATCCATCTGCGTCCGAGCCCGCCTCCGGTCTTCTTGATTTTGTGTTGACACCGGGCCCACGTGGGGAAGGAGACAGTGAGATAGGTGCTGCGCAAGTATACTGCCACTATAAACTAAATCGCGCACAATTCACGGTGCCCATTTCACCTTGTTGTAGAGCACACGGTGGGCATCGCCGAGCACGACGGTCGAACTGTCATGTGGGGCGGTCTGCTGACGGACTGAGACTTGGGCCGTAATGACTCCATTTCACGTTATTTCCATGGCATCCCACGCATGTAAAATTCCGAGCCACAGATCTTTATGTGAAAAACTGGAGTTCGTGTGGCGACGGGCCATGTATGTCCCGTATAGCGAGTTATTGAGCTCGGGCAACCACTCACGTCTAGCCCCAACATCTGACAGTTGACCGGTCCGGACGGCGGACAGGTGAATGCGATAGGGAAGAGAGAGTGAGACAGTCTCGGCACATTCCTTCACTGCAAACAGTGTGGCACACTTTTGAACTATTACGATCCGCCAAATGTCAGGGTTTGGAAGACCCCTAACTAACAGGGTGAATTGATCCTATGGGTGCGGAAAGCCGGTCCACAGTGACTCCTTATCAAATTGACCTCCATGTCATTCCCAGTCAGATGGGATCTCAGCCGATAATTTCTTTTCTCTCCGACAATTTTTTCCAACATGCGCATAGCGGGACGGTGTAGCAAGCGTTGACGGTCTGGTTAGCCGTTTCTGTTACTGCGTCCGATCCCGGCTCCGTTCGCCCTGGCCTAGTCATGCCACCGGACTGAGGTTTATGAGACAGAAGAGAGTGTAGCAGATGCCGCACAAGTCTATCATCAGTAAAAATTAATTAACGCGCAGGTCACCGTCCTGCGCTCATCTTGTTTTGGGGTACACTGTGAGCCTCCTCGTACGTAATGGTCGCACTGTCGCAAGTAATATGTACAAACTATTTCTGTTTCTTTTTATCAGGGCCATTTCGTAATATACTACGCTCCTGCTCGCTTCTTCCATCTAGTTCCATTTTTTCAGCATGAATGGTAAAGCCGAATTACCTTGGCTTTGGTCACGCTAACAGCGAATCAGAAAACAAGTTTGTCAACTCTCTGGATCGATGAAGTATCTTTTGAATAATGATCCCGCCACCCTCTACGAATAGTCTCGGCGTTTGTACGATTGTGCTCCCTACTTCACTTCATAAAAGACATTTAAATAAAATAAAGCTTTTCCTATCATCTCAGAATAGCATTCAGACAGGAGATTGCAGGTGCGAAAGTAGCTTTGGAATCCGCACAAACTTCCCCCATTGATTCGATAAGTAATTGCCAAAGTAACTACTTTGACTTTCAGCATGAATATCGAGCTAGATAAGCAAAGGATGTTATTATTTTTTAACGACAAGAAAACTTCCAAATCTGCTGCAAAGGCCATCCGTCGCAGTTCCTCGGTCAAATGTCACTTAACTACTCATACTTTTTAACAACAACGCCAAAATCATTACACAGGTGCAGGGCAGGACAGCATTACTAAACGCCTTTTATCACATCCATGTTACCTATAAAACTAGCTCAATTCCCTTACTTCATTACTTTTTACCTAAGGTAATTCAGATAAGGCAAGTCATCTTAACGGCCCTCACGAACTGAGTACTGCCGATATCCGGAATCGCTTTAGTAAATGACAAAGGTACTTTCTCCCTCTACTAAGCAAAATTGATTTTAGTCTTTCTCGAGGACGGTCTCCTTCCGGTTCTCAAAATCCTCTTTTATTTCAACGTTTAAGTTTTGTTTTCTTTCTTATCCTAAAAGCTCTCGGGAGTTAATAAAACGCCCTCTCTCCATTGTCGCCAATTTGAGCTAACCATACACTTTGAACTTCTAAGCAGCCTCCTGTCTGTCCGCTCCTGTGAAACACGCCTTTTATCTTATATAGATCTGTTTACTTGTCCTTGTAAGGAACTCATATCGGTGGTCAGTATTTTCCTCGATCATAGTTAGGCTTTTGATAAAATGTCATATAAATTAATCCTAGCATTGATTCCGCATAAATTCTAGTCCCAGATTCAACGCATTCATATTATCTCTCCAGCTGTTTGATCTCATGTCGCGCGTAATTCCCTCGTGGTCGTCCGACTGGCTCTCTGCTCCACTTCCAAACTTTCGTTATTTTGCTTTCAAGTATGCCTTGCTTTGGAACAATCCCTCGTCAGAAATTAGTTGTTCGCCTAAATTATAGGCATCTAAGTTGGGATCAAGTAAGCGTCGTCCCTCCAAGAGTATAAAGTCGTTAATGTTCGTTTGAATCTCCAACACTCAATTTCTCAACTACGAAAAGGGTTCTTCCGGAATTCAAGAGTAGATCTCACTGGTTTCGCTTGTTTGAATCGCACTTCCTTCAAACAACTTTCTGTGTTTCAACCAGTTGTTAGATCCAATAATACTGTCGTCCTCAGCAAAGGTCTTTGCGGCCTTTATCCTCCTCCTCCTCCTCCTCCTCCTCCTCCTCCTCTTGTCGATGCTAGGTGAACTGTTGACGATCACAAGTGATTTCTCTGCTGCGCCACCTTGGGCGTAGTTTCTTTGACCAGTAAGGAAGTATCCTGATTGCATCTAACCGCGCCTCGATATTTCTTGCGGCCTTTAAAGTTCCCTCCTCCTTTCGTACCCAAGCGAACTGTTGTCATTCGCGGTGGGTTCTTCACTCACGCCATCTCCACTGCTGTTTTTAGCAGTCAATCGGGAAATATCATGATCCCATTTGCATCAATTTGGTAGTGCATGTAGCATTCTCCGGTGTAGGAATTCCTATTGATGAGGAGCGTTTTGAATCCTTATTAGCTCTCATCAGTCAATCGGTCCTGTTCCACACGCAAAACTCCCTTCCCATGGAAAAAGTCTTTTCTTCAGGAATTTTGCTGTCTCTTTTCGGTATAATGAGTGATATGACTCTTCGAAGATAAGAGATGTTCAAAGACATTTTTCTCGAAATTTCTACACTAGACACACATAATTATGTTTTACTCGAGCGAATCCAGCTGACTTGCCGTTATTTACTTTTTCATAGGGTAGTTGAACACGAATTCTCTCTCCTTTTTCGCATTCGTGATAATTTGGAAATTATTTAAATTGCAG